AGTAACTTGAAGAAATGACTTTTCACTTCACATCCAGCTTTAGTTGTGAGGCGTCTTTGCACCAGCAGGTTGTCTTTTTAATGAGCCTTTACTTTAACGTACAATAAAATTACAAAATTCTCTACAAAGCAAAACAATTTAGTTTTAGTCATAAAAACAGATTTCAGTTTGCAAACAACAGAAGTCGCATCAGGATGAAGCAGAGTTAATCGCTGTTCCCTGTGAGTGGGTGTGATGTAGGCCCTGGATGTGTCCTGTACACGTCCACTCACATTAGTCATAATGTCAAAAACTTGTGACAAGAAGAAAGTTGCACTTCTTTATATAGCCTCATTACTGCAACTTTTTGTATGTTGATATGGCGCAGCCTTTTTTACATCCAGTCTCCAATTAGTTTAGAATGCAGCAGCAGGACTTTTCAACTAGATCAAAAAACAGACAGCACATTACTGAGACTCCTGCCTCCCTGCTCCGTTTCCCTGTTAGCTGTAGACTGAAGTTTGAATGCTTGTTCTCTGTTTACAGAGAAGTAAATGGTTTGAGCTGGTATCTGTGAACTCCTGCCCCCGTACAACACAGTCGGACACCTAAGATCTCAGACCAAAGCCTGCGTCTGTCTCACAGATACACAGGATTACGAGTGAAACAGCAGAATCAATCATTATTTTTCACTCGTATCTTTCGGACTAAAAACACACCATCAGTTCTGACTTTGCCTGACTTCTCAAACTAACGACTCAACAGGAAATCCTTTGCTGTGTTTTCAATCCACACCTTTGAAAGTATTTGAGGGATATTTTCATTTATGACAAATGAACATAATCTAATTATAATCTGTGCAGAATTTTATTATAGAGCTAGTGACCTCCCATCAGTATTTAATTGGAAAGTTGTCAAAATATAGATATTTATTGGTGCTGTGGTCAATGCAACATCGAGCTTGGGCGATTATGCAAGTGCTGGAATTTGATTGGCCAATGTTGCAGTGCAGGAGCTTCCTCGATTGGCTTGATTAATTGCAATTCTGTGGAAGTGTGAACATGATTAGCTGGTAGAAGATAAAAGCAGCAGAAGTTAATCAGACAGGAATTCAACATTTCTGTTTATTTACTGCTGCCTGCTACAACATGGATTATACCAAGAGATGTGCAGTGTCTGTTTTTCTGCTCTATATT